CAGTATGCGGTCTATTAATGACCAAATCATAACTCAGATGATGGAAAAACGACGACGTTTCGGTCCGTTTTGGACCGTTATCACACGACATGATAAATGGTCCACAATGGACCGAAACGTTGGGGTTTCTCGGTCTTCTGAGGTGCTGTTTGGTTATCGTGTCTTCAGTCATGTTATTGTGACTCTTCGTCTGTTATATCTTTTCAATGTGTTCTGCCTCTTTCTCCTAATTGTGTTATCTTTTTCGTTATTGATTGTTATGTATCTTCATTCTTTCATTAACTTACTCATCTATCTACTCGTCAACTCACCATCAACTCGTCAACTCACCCATCTGCTCGTCAACTCACCCATCTACTTGTCAACTCACCATCAACTCGTCAACTCACCATCTACTTGTCAACTCACCATCTACTTGTCAACTCACCATCTACTTGTCAACTCACCATCAACTCGTCAACTCACCATCTACTTGTCAACTCACCATCTACTTGTCAACTCACCATCAACTCGTCAACTCACCATCTACTTGTCAACTCACCATCTACTTGTCAACTCACCATCAACTCGTCAACTCACCATCAACTCGTCAACTCACCATCTTCTTGTCAACTCACCATCAACTCGTCAACTCACCCATCTACTTGTCAACTCACCCATCAACTCGTCAACTCACCCATCTACTTGTCAACTCACCATGAACTCGTCAACTCACCCATCTGCTCGTCAACTCACCCATCTGCTCGTCAACTCACCCATCTACTTGTCAACTCACCATCAACTCGTCAACTCACCCATCTACTTGTCAACTCACCATCAACTCGTCAACCACTCACCCATCTACTTGTCAACTCACCCATCTGCTCGTCAACTCACCATCAACTCGTCAACTCACCCATCTACTTGTCAACTCACCATCAACTCGTCAACCACTCACCCATCTACTTGTCAACTCACCCATCTGCTCGTCAACTCACCATCAACTCGTCAACCACTCACCCATCAACTCGTCAACTCACCATCAACTCGTCAACTCATCCATCAACTCGTCAACTCATCCATCAACTCGTCAACTCACCATCAACTCGTCAACCCACCCATCAACTCGTCAACTCACCCATCAACTCGTCAACTCACCCGGGGCAACATGTTCTCACGCTCATGAGGTGTGAGTGTGAGGTGAGGTATTTTCTTCCAACATGAGGAGGTTCTCACTCATACACGGAGCAGTTCTCCAACATACATGAGAAGGTTTTCTCTCACGCATGATGGGTCTTCTCTCATGCAAGAGGTGGTCCTTCCTCCTACATGATGTGGTCCTTCCTCCTACATGAGGTGGTCCTTCCTCCTACATGATGTGGTCCTTCCTCCTACATGATGTGGTCCTTCCTCCTACATGATGTGGTCCTTCCTCCTACATGATGTGGTCCTTCCTCCTACATGATGTGGTCCTTCCTCCTACATGATGTGGTCCTTCCTCCTACATGATGTGGTCCTTCCTCCCACATGATGTGGTCCTTCCTCCTACATGATGTGGTCCTTCCTCCTACATGATGTGGTCCTTCCTCCTACATGATGTGGTCCTTCCTCCCACATGATGTGGTCCTTCCTCCCACATGATGTGGTCCTTCCTCCTACATGATGTGGTCCTTCCTCCTACATGATGTGGTCCTTCCTCCTACATGAGGTGGTCCTTCCTCCTACATGATGTGGTCCTTCCTCCTACATGATGTGGTCCTTCCTCCTACATGATGTGGTCCTTCCTCCTACATGATGTGGTCCTTCCTCCTACATGATGTGGTCCTTCCTCCTACATGATGTGGTCCTTCCTCCTACATGATGTGGTCCTTCCTCCCACATGATGTGGTCCTTCCTCCTACATGATGTGGTCCTTCCTCCTACATGATGTGGTCCTTCCTCCTACATGATGTGGTCCTTCCTCCCACATGATGTGGTCCTTCCTCCTACATGATGTGGTCCTTCCTCCCACATGATGTGGTCCTTCCTCCTACATGATGTGGTCCTTCCTCCTACATGATGTGGTCCTTCCTCCCACATGATGTGGTCCTTCCTCCTACATGATGTGGTCCTTCCTCCCACATGATGTGGTCCTTCCTCCTACATGATGTGGTCCTTCCTCCTATATGATGTGGTCCTTCCTCCTACATGATGTGGTCCTTCCTCCTACATGATGTGGTCCTTCCTCCTACATGATGTGGTCCTCTCATTCATGAGGAGGTTCTCTCTCGTGTATGGTGGAAGTCCCTCTCTCATACATGAGGGGATCATCCCTCATAAATAATGGAGTGCTCTGTCATGCCATTAACCATCCAACACTTCACTTTCCTCATTATCTTTCTAATTTTCTTTCTTCTTTGTGTTATTACTCATTTTTTTATATTTCCTTCTCTGTGTGTTTTCAAGTCTCCTCTTAATCCACCATTCCATCATTCTACTTCCTCCACTTCGTACTTTATATTTTCCATATCTGTCATCTCTTTATCTTCCATCGCCTCATTTTCATGTTCATTCCTCGCTTTTAAGTTTACTCATTCTCCTCCTTTCCACCCATTCCCTCTTCCCCTTCATTCCCTCCACAGCCTTGAGCACAGTAGGCTGGATAACTGGGACAACCTGAACTAGGGAGTACCCGAAGGACAGACAGACAACAGTCACAGAACTGAGGTTACAGACTGGAGGAACATAACAAGTGGTGTCCCACAAGGCTCGGTCCTGGGACCACTCCTCTTGTTTATTCTCGTGAACGACCTTCCCGAGGCAGTAAGCTCGGGCATGGCAATGTTTGCAGGTGACAAACAGCTGACGAGGAATGTAAAAACAGAAGAGGAATGTAGGAAGTTGAAGGAGGACCTGGACAAACTCTAAGTTCTCCTTGATAGTACATGCAGTTTGCATGATAGAGTTCAACTCACACAACAGAGTACCAACGGCAGCATATAGGACGCTGACAAACTCTAGTTTGTCATTTTCAATCGACTTGAGAATGGTCCAGGACGGACCGAAACGTCGTCGTCCCTTCAACTTCTAGTGTGTGGTCTGGTCAACATACTTCAGCCACGTTATTGTGACTCATCGCCTGCACGCTGACAAATATAAGAGCATCGTTTAGAAGCAGGACTCCTTCAAGGCAATCTACTTAATATATGTGAGACCAACGCTGGAATATGCAGCACCGGCATGGACTCCGCACCTTGTGAAGCATAAAACCAAAATTGAAAAGCACAATGGTTAGGAAAAAGATTGGTGCCAGAGCCAGGAGGGCTTAACTACGGGGTTTGGTTTATGGAACTAAATCTCACCACCCTAGAAGGTAGAGAGAACAAAGGGGATATATTCACAACATACAAGATACTAAGATGAATAGGTAAGGTGGACAAGCATAGCTTCATTAAACTGAGAGAAAATAGTACAAGAGGACACTGATGGAAGCCGGAAACACAAATTAGCTGAAGGACTGTTAACGAAATACTCGAACCCTGTACTGGTGGTCAACAAGTAGAATGCACAGAAAGAACAAGTTCTAAAAGCCACCTCCGTCCACAACCAGAAGATCTTATTCGACAAAGAATTTCAACGTCAGAATATTTTAACGCAACTGGTACAAGAAACTAGCAGGCGGGGGCATAAAGTGCTACACCTCACTCTCCGGTAGACACGTTTAGGTAAGCAGTGACAGGCAAGTACCTCCTCCTCCTCCTCCTCACGTAGACATCGTTATAAGGCACAAAATGCGTAAGGCAGCCCCGACTGTGGTTCATCACTGTGATAATTGGCCCCCTTGTCCTCATCCTTCTTTGTGGAATCCTCGGGTGTGTGACAAGGCTGTTAGTTGTTACGGCTAGTGTGAACACCGGGGCGTGTTGGAGGGGTCACAGTCACCCTCCCACACCCGCCCCACCGCCTCTCACTCTCTCATGCTTCAACCTTCCTTCTGTCACGTTACTCGTTGTCTTCCGTTCGACTCCTGTGCACTGAGACTTGCGCCCTGTCTCTTAAGTCTTCTTCCTCACCCACTGCTCTTTTACTGTGGAAAATCATCTTAAAACCTGGCCGACGTGTCTCCAGGTCCCGGGCCTGTGCTCTAGCTCCCGGGCCTGTGCTCTAGCTCTCGGGCCTGTGCTCTAGCTCCCGGGCCTGTGCTCTAGCTCCCGGGCCTGTGCTCTCGGTCTCCTTGGACCTATGTTGCACGGTGAATATTTCATCAACCGTTCTTATTCTTGCACGTTGTCCCTGTTCCTTGTTTGCTGGAGTGTGACTTTGCCTGTTCCCTGCACCTCTTCACAGGTCACTACCCTCGGCTCTGAACCCTTCCTTGTTACAGCTTTCTGGAGCTTTTCTCCTCGATTTCGTTCATTTTCTTCTTTGTGTTGTAAAGAACACAGATTTCTGGCAACCATTTGTTGGTGGCATCCTCCACTAATACAGATTAATTTCTCTGTGATAATTCTTGGACTTGATAATGGGACTCCATCCTGAGGCTTCACACTCGAGGGATAGTCTCACGAACGGTCATTGCTATGAAAGAGTCTCTGTCACTGTCTTTCAAGACTATCGCGGCCTTAGATGTTTAGCATAAGATACTAAATATACTCCGGCTAATATGTGGCTCTGGAGTCAGGTTTTGGGGTCATGACTACTGCCAGATCTCCCCACCAGGATTCCCACTCCTCTTTCAACTATCACGAGCTTGCATTTGTCAGAGTTAAACTTCAGAACTTCTTTTCTCGAATTGACTCTGGATCGTGTATTATATTGATAATCCAGCACATATTTTTTTTCACTAATTCTTGTCATTAACGTTAATAATATAAATGGAAATGACGTGAGGACTGAAACATGCGGGACTCAACCTCTCCATATAGACCGCTGGGATATTAAGACCAATATGGGCAGGAAAACTGGTCTTTGAAGAAGACCAATGGTCACCTCTCCTCCTCACTCTTAACGTCTCAATGTTATCTTCCCTACCAGGTGTAATTTTATGCAGCTGATTGATCTGTAGGATATACCAGCAAGCTTATACCCCGCTGAGTGCTCTCCAGGGTATAACAGTAAACATATATGCAACAGAGGGTCGCAAAATTAGGAGTTGCGACACAGAAGAAATTCACAAATATAAGCAAGTGAGAACGACAATCTTATTCGCCTCATCACTTATTAGTGCAATTTATAGGCCCCTGATGGTACGCTAGTTACCAGGTGATTAGCGCTGCCTGGTGACCAGTACGCGAACTACACATCGTAAACATCTGTGTTGATGTTCTGGACGTCAACACCTGTGGTGATGCTGCTCAAAAATCGTCACATGTTTTTCATGTATTTTCCCTATAATTAGGGAGGTTTTAGCTATAATTATCCACCAATAGTATTGGGAACAATTTATACGGAAATTGTTAATAAAAAGAGCAAATATTTATAGATAATATAATTGACTTTGTTGTTGCTGTTTTGGAACATTTTGAAGGTCAGGCCATGTTTGTGTGGCCCCCATGGTGGCCACCAGGGCCATGTGTGGCCCCCATGGTGGCCACCAGGGCCATGTGTGGCCCCCATGGTGGCCACCAGGGCCATGTGTGGCCCCCATGGTGGCCACCAGGGCCATGTCTGGCCCCCATGGTGGCCACCAGGGCCATGTCTGGCCCCCATGGTGGCCACCGGGGCCATGTCTGGCCCCCATGGTGGCAACCGGGGCCATGTCTGGCCACCATGGTGGCCACCGGGGCCATGTCTGGCCACCATGATGGCCACCGGGGCCATGTCTGGCCACCATGGAGGCCACCGGGGCCATGTCTGGCCACCATGGAGGCCACCGGGGCCATGTCTGGCCCCCATGGTGGCCACCGGGGCCATGTCTGGCCCCCATGGTGGCCACCAGGGCCATATCTGGCCACCATGATGGCCACCGGGGCCATGTCTGGCCCCCATGGTGGCCACCGGGGCCATGTCTGGCCCCCATGGTGGCAACCGGGGCCATGTCTGGCCCCCATGGTGGCCACCGGGGCCATGTCTGGCCCCCATGGTGGCCACCGGGGCCATGTCTGGCCACCATGGTGGCCACCGGGGCCATGTCTGGCCACCATGATGGCCACCGGGGCCATGTCTGGCCACCATGATGGCCACCGGGGCCATGTCTGGCCACCATGATGGCCACCGGGGCCATGTCTGGCCCCCATGGTGGCCACCAGGGCCATGTCTGGCTACCATGGTGGCCACCGGGGCCATGTCTGGCCACCATGGTGGCCACCGGGGCCATGTCTGGCCACCAGGGCCATGTCTGGCCACCAGGGCCATGTCTGGCCACCATGGTGTACACCGGGGCCATGTATGGCCACCATGGAGGCCACCGGGGCCATGTCTGGCCACCATGGAGGCCACCGGGGCCATGTCTGGCCACCATGGTGGCCACCGGCGCCATGTCTGGCCACCTCGGTAGCCACCAGGGCCATGTCTGGCCCCCATGGTGGCCACCAGGGCCATGTCTGTCCCCCATGGTGGCCACCAGGGCCATGTCTGGCCACCATGGAGGCCACCGGGGCCATGTCTGGCCACCATGATGGCCACCGGCGCCATGTCTGGCCACCATGGTGGCCACCGGCGCCATGTCTGGCCACCTCGGTTGCCACCAGGGCCATGTCTGGCCCCCATGGTGGCCACGAGGGCCATGTCTGTCCCCCATGGTGGCCACCAGGGCCATGTCTGGCCACCATGGTGTACACCGGGGCCATGTCTGGCCACCATGGTGTACACCGGGGCCATGTATGGCCACCATGGTGTACACCGGGGCCATGTCTGGCCACCATGGAGGCCACCGGGGGCCATGTCTGGCCACCATGGAGGCCACCGGGGCCATGTCTGGCCCCCATGGTGGCCACCAGGGCCATGTCTGGCCCCCATGGTGGCCACCAGGGCCATGTCTGGCCACCATGGTGTACACCGGGGCCATGTCTGGCCACCATGGAGGCCACCGGGGCCATGTCTGGCCCCCATGGTGGCCACCAGGGCCATGTCTGGCCCCCATGGTGGCCACCGGGGCCATGTCTGGCCCCCATGGTGGCCACCAGGGCCATGTCTGGCCCCCATGGTGGCCACCGGGGCCATGTCTGGCCACCATGGTGTACACCGGGGCCATGTCTGGCCACCATGGTGGCCACAAGGGGCCATGTCTGGCCACCTTCGTAAATCAGCAATAACATGATATTTTTTGCTTCAGCGTGTATAGAAAGACGGAGCCAGGGTTTTTACATTTGATCAAAGGCAGCTTGTTATGTGAGGCACTAGACATGTTCTCCCCAGAGATTGGAGCCCAATACGGCCACTTTCTGAACCACTGAGACAGTCGTTAGCGAGGTACTCACAGCAGGTCGTTAGCGAGGTACTCACAGCAGGTCGTTAGCGGGGTACTCACAGCAGGTCGTTAGCGGGGTACTCACAGCAGGTCGTTAGCGGGGTACTCACAGCAGGTCGTTAGCGAGGTACTCACAGCAGGTCGTTAGCGGGGTACTCACAGCAGGTCGTTAGCGGGGTACTCACAGCAGGTCGTTAGCGGGGTACTCACAGCAGGTCGTTAGCGGGGTACTCACAGCAGGTCGTTAGCGGGGTACTCACAGCAGGTCGTTAGCGGGGTACTCACAGCAGGTCGTTAGCGAGGTACTCACAGCAGGTCGTTAGCGGGGTACTCACAGCAGGTCGTTAGCGAGGTACTCACAGCAGGTCGTTAGCGAGGTACTCACAGCAGGTCGTTAGCGAGGTACTCACAGCAGGTCGTTAGCGGGGTACTCACAGCAGGTCGTTAGTAACTCACAGCAGGTCGTTAGTGAGGTACTCACAGCAGGTCGTTAACTACGTACTCTCAGCAGGTCGTTAACTACGTACTCTCAGCAGGTCGTTAACGAGGTACTCACCTACCTGAGTAACCTATCAACTGTCAGTTACATCTTTTTGGCTCCAAGAAACAATCTCTCGCTACAATTTTTTGACGATGACATTTGGGTTACCAAACTGGCTGACTTAACTGATATATTTAAACATTTTTAACTAGTTTACTCTTAATCCTTCAGGGTAAAATCTGTAATATATTTCAACATATTGAATATACTGAAGGGTTGCAGAGGAGACAATGACAAGTAAGTCTTAGAAGCTATCATGTCTCCTCTAATATTTGCAACATTGCTAAAACACGTTGCTGAGAACAGTGAATATTTTTTTTAATATTATCATTGATAAACTCGAGATATTATCACATCTCATTGCTCAATCCCGAACTTTTAATGACTATTTTCCAGTGCAAAGTTTTGAGACAGCAAAGAATTTGCTGCTTTAACGTGGCCTTTTATCCAGGTGGTCTTTATCCAGGTGGCCTTTATCCAGGTGGCCTTTATCCAGGTGGCCTTTATCCAGGCGGCCTTTATCCAGGCGGCCTTTATCCAGGTGTTTTTTATCCAGGTGGCCTTTATCCAGGTGGTCTTTATCCAGGTGGCCTTTATCCAGGTGGCCTTTATCCAGGTGGCCTTTATACAGGCGGCCTTTATCCAGGTGGTCTTTATCCAGGTGGCCTTTATCCAGGTGGCTTTTATCAGGGTGGCCTTTATCCAGGTGGTCTTTATCCAGGTGGCCTTTATCCAGGTGGCCTTTATCCAGGTGGTCTTTATCCAGGCGGCCTTTATCCAGGTGGTTTTTATCCAGGTGGTCTTTATCTAGGTGGTCTTTATCCAGGTGGCCTTTATCCAGGTGGCCTTTATACAGGCGGCCTTTATCCAGGTGGTTTTTATCCAGGTGGTCTTTATCCAGGTGGTCTTTATCCAGGTGGCCTTTATCCAGGTGGTCTTTATCCAGGCGGCCTTTATCCAGGTGGTTTTTATCCAGGTGGCCTTTATCCAGGTGGCCTTTATCCAGGTGGCCTTTATCCAGGTGGTCTTTATCCAGGCGGCCTTTATCCAGGTGGTTTTTATCCAGGTGGCCTTTATCCTGGTGGTCTTTATCCAGGTGGCATTTATCCAGGTGGCCTTTATCCAGGTGGCCTTTATACAGGCGGCCTTTATCCAGGTGGCCTTCATCCAGGTGGTCTTTATCCAGGTGGCCTTTATCCAGGTGGCCTTTATACAGGCGGGCTTTATCCAGGTGGTCTTTATCCAGGTGGCCTCTATCCAGGTGGCTTTTATCAGGGTGGCCTTTATCCAGGTGGTCTTTATCCAGGTGGCCTTTATACAGGCGGCCTTTATCCAGGTGGCCTTTATCCAGGTGGCCTTTATCCAGGTGGTCTTTATCCAGGCGGCCTTTATCCAGGTGGTCTTTATCCAGGTGGCCTTTATCCAGGTGGCCTTTATCCAGGTGGCTTTTATCAGGGTGGCCTTTATCAAGGTGGTCTTTATCCAGGTGGCCTTTATCCAGGTGGCCATTATCCAGGTGGCCTTTATCCAGGTGGTCTTTCTCCAGGTGCCCATTATCCAGGTGGCCTTTATCCACATTGCCTATATCCACGTGGTCTTTATGCATGTGACCTTTATCCAGGTGGCCATTATCCAGGTGGCCTTTATCCACGTGGTCATTATCCAGGTGGCCTTTATCCAGGTGGCCTTTATCCACGTGGCTTTTATCCAAGTGCCCATTATCCAGGTGGCCTTTATCCACATTGCCTTTATCCACGTGGCCTTTATCCAGGTGGCCATTATCCACGTGGCCCTTATCCAGGTGGCCTTTATCCACGTGGCCTTTATCCACGTTGCCTTTATCCACGTGGCCATTATCCACGTGGCCTTTATTCACGTGGCCATTATCCACGTGGCCTTTATCCACGTGGTCTTTATCCACGTGGCCTTTATCCACGTGGTCTTTATCCACGTGGCCTTTATCCACGTGGCCTTTATCCAAAGGCCAACTGGATAAAATTCCCTTTGATTTTCAACGCCCTGAATAAAATAACTGACTTAAACATTCATCCAGAAGAGGCGGCTGAATTGGTCCATTCTGGCGGTTCATTAACACTGAAGGATGGTTGTTGAGTCGTTAAATGTGTCATTATTTTGGGTTAAGGTCACGGTAGAATTAACACTTAAGTAAAAAGGTCAAACTTGCTACGCGTCGAACTTAAACCCCAAAAAGTTAGAAAAACGGTGATGTGGATGATAACTACGGCTTAATAGACCCGCTGACACCTCTCTTATACATTACGGCTGAATTGGCCGTTTCCCCGTATGGCCGAAACGGGACGTAATTTGAAAAGAAAAAAAAAAGGAAAATAAATTTTGATTATTTTTTCAACAACAGTAAGATAAGGGTCGGGTGGTAAGTTAGGTGGGTAGGAAATTCTCCTAAAGTTTCAAAACGTGATGAAAAATGTTAATTGAGAGTTTCCTCTCCTAACCTTTCCGAGTAAGCCGGACGACTCAGACAGAAAATGAGACTAATACATCACTTTTGTGAGCCGATTTCATTTAACATTACGGCCACTTTTGGTCATAGCGAGAAGCGAGGGTTTTTTTAAGAGGACGGGTTGTACCGTTAAGAGGACGGGTTGTACCGTTAAGAGGACGGGTTGTACCGTTAAGAGGACGGGTTGTACCGTTAAGAGGACGGGTTGTACCGTTAAGAGGACGGGTTGTACCGTTAAGAGGACGGGTTGTACCGTTAAGAGGACGGGTTGTACCGTTAAGAGGACGGGTTGTACCGTTAAGAGGACGGGTTGTACCGTTAAGAGGACGGGTTGTACCGTTAAGAGGACGGGTTGTACCGTTAAGAGGACGGGTTGTACAAGAGGACGGGTTGTACCGTTAAGAGGACGGGTTGTACCGTTAAGAGGACGGGTTGTACCGTTAAGAGGACGGGTTGTACCGTTAAGAGGACGGGTTGTACCGTTAAGAGGACGGGTTGTACCGTTAAGAGGACGGGTTGTACCGTTAAGAGGACGGGTTGTACCGTTAAGAGGACGGGTTGTACCGTTAAGAGGACGGGTTGTACCGTTAAGAGGACGGGTTGTACCGTTAAGAGGACGGGTTGTACCGTTAAGAGGACGGGTTGTACCGTTAAGAGGACGGGTTGTACCGTTAAGAGGACGGGTTGTACCGTTAAGAGGACGGGTTGTACCGTTAAGAGGACGGGTTGTACCGTTAAGAGGACGGGTTGTACTGCTGCCTTGCACCGTAACGAATTTTATTCTGTTAAATTAAAGTACATTTCGCGACATCATGATTTGCATACGTCAAAAAATATACAAGATAAAAAATATTAGACAATTTGGTGCAATTTATTTGCTTCAAAATGCCGTTGTTAGACTTCACACACTCGTTACTAGGACTTGCTAACGCTATAAAATAAACAAATTACGACGACCTCCGTTAGTAACTACTTTCTTACTTAATTATAGAACTGTCATAGATTGTAATTAAGTCACCAAGCTGCAAAATATACAAGGACAAGAGAGGCTGCCTTACACGACAAACACCTCCGAAGAATATCTGATCAACCAGGCTGTGATTCACACGTCAGGCTGCGAGCAGCCGCCTCCAACAGCCTGGATGACCAGGGGCCAGATTCACGAAGCAGTTACGCAAGTACTTACGAACCTGTCCATCTTTTTTCAATCCTTGTCGGCTTTGTTTACAATTATTAAACAGTTAATGAGCTCCGAAGCACCAGGAGGCTGTTTATAACAATAACAACAGTTGATTGGCAAGTTTTCATGCATGTAAACTGTTTAATAAATGTCACCAAAGCCGTCAAAGATTGAGGAAAGATGTACACGTTCGTAAGTACTTACGTAACTGCTTCGTGAATCTGACCGCAGCCGACCCAACTGGGAGGCCTAATCGGAGACCGGGCCGCGGAGCCATTGATCCCCGGAACCTAAACAAGGTAGACACAAGGTAGGCTGGGCCCACGTGACCAATGAAGACTTGGGATATTTTGTCCCAAAAATGGATTAATTTTTAACGTTGCTCTGTAATTGTCGAAAATTATCCCATGAAAACAGAAGGAAATAGGAACATCCCTTTAAGAGATAGATGTGTGAGCCACGACGAGCGATGTGCTCTCTCACTGTAGTGTGTGAGCCACGACGAGCGATGTGCTCTCTCACTGTAGTGTGTGAGCCACGACGAGCGATGTGCTCTCTCACTGTAGTGTGTGAGCCACGACGAGCGATATGCTCTCTCACTGTAGTGTGTGAGCCACGACGAGCGATATGCTCTCTCACTGTAGTGTGTGAGCCACGACGAGCGATATGCTCTCTCACTGTAGTGTGTGAGCCACGACGAGCGATATGCTCTCTCACTGTAGTGTGTGAGCCACGACGAGCGATATGCTCTCTCACTGTAGTGTGTGAGCCACGACGAGCGATGTGCTCTCTCACTGTAGTGTGTGAGCCACGACGAGCGATATGCTCTCTCACTGTAGTGTGTGAGCCACGACGAGCGATGTGCTCTCTCACTGTAGTGTGTGAGCCACGACGAGCGATGTGCTCTCTCACTGTAGTGTGTGAGCCACGACGAGCGATGTGCTCTCTCACTGTAGTGTGTGAGCCACGACGAGCGATATGCTCTCTCACTGTAGTGTGTGAGCCACGACGAGCGATATGCTCTCTCACTGTAGTGTGTGAGCCACGACGAGCGATGTGCTCTCTCACTGTAGTGTGTGAGCCACGACGAGCGATATGCTCTCTCACTGTAGTGTGTGAGCCACGACGAGCGATGTGCTCTCTCACTGTAGTGTGTGAGCCACGACGAGCGATATGCTCTCTCACTGTAGTGTGTGAGCCACGACGAGCGATGTGCTCTCTCACTGTAGTGTGTGAGCCACGACGAGCGATGTGCTCTCTCACTGTAGTGTGTGACCCACGACGAGCGATGTGCTCTCTCACTGTAGTGTGTGAGCCACGACGAGCGATATGCTCTCTCACTGTAGTGTGTGAGCCACGACGAGCGATATGCTCTCTCACTGTAGTGTGTGAGCCACGACGAGCGATGTGCTCTCTCACTGTAGTGTGTGAGCCACGACGAGCGATGTGCTCTCTCACTGTAGTGTGTGAGCCACGACGAGCGATATGCTCTCTCACTGTAGTGTGTGAGCCACGACGAGCGATATGCTCTCTCACTGTAGTGTGTGAGCCACGACGAGCGATATGCTCTCTCACTGTAGTGTGTGAGCCACGACGAGCGATATGCTCTCTCACTGTAGTGTGTGAGCCACGACGAGCGATATGCTCTCTCACTGTAGTGTGTGAGCCACGACGAGCGATATGCTCTCTCACTGTAGTGTGTGAGCCACGACGAGCGATATGCTCTCTCACTGTAGTGTGTGAGCCACGACGAGCGATGTGCTCTCTCACTGTAGTGTGTGAGCCACGACGAGCGATGTGCTCTCTCACTGTAGTGTGTGAGCCACGACGAGCGATGTGCTCTCTCACTGTAGTGTGTGAGCCACGACGAGCGATGTGCTCTCTCACTGTAGTGTGTGAGCCACGACGAGCGATATGCTCTCTCACTGTAGTGTGTGAGCCACGACGAGCGATATGCTCTCTCACTGTAGTGTGTGAGCCACGACGAGCGATATGCTCTCTCACTGTAGTGTGTGACCCACGACGAGCGATGTGCTCTCTCACTGTAGTGTGTGAGCCACGACGAGCGATGTGCTCTCTCACTGTAGTGTGTGAGCCACGACGAGCGATGTGCTCTCTCACTGTAGTGTGTGAGCCACGACGAGCGATATGCTCTCTCACTGTAGTGTGTGAGCCACGACGAGCGATATGCTCTCTCACTGTAGTGTGTGAGCCACGACGAGCGATATGCTCTCTCACTGTAGTGTGTGAGCCACGACGAGCGATGTGCTCTCTCACTGTAGTGTGTGAGCCACGACGAGCGATATGCTCTCTCACTGTAGTGTGTGAGCCACGACGAGCGATATGCTCTCTCACTGTAGTGTGTGAGCCACGACGAGCGATATGCTCTCTCACTGTAGTGTGTGAGCCACGACGAGCGATATGCTCTCTCACTGTAGTGTGTGAGCCACGACGAGCGATATGCTCTCTCACTGTAGTGTGTGAGCCACGACGAGCGATATGCTCTCTCACTGTAGTGTGTGAGCCACGACGAGCGATGTGCTCTCTCACTGTAGTGTGTGAGCCACGACGAGCGATATGCTCTCTCACTGTAGTGTGTGAGCCACGACGAGCGATGTGCTCTCTCACTGTAGTGTGTGAGCCACGACGAGCGATATGCTCTCTCACTGTAGTGTGTGAGCCACGACGAGCGATGTGCTCTCTCACTGTAGTGTGTGAGCCACGACGAGCGATATGCTCTCTCACTGTAGTGTGTGAGCCACGACGAGCGATATGCTCTCTCACTGTAGTGTGTGAGCCACGACGAGCGATATGCTCTCTCACTGTAGTGTGTGAGCCACGACGAGCGATATGCTCTCTCACTGTAGTGTGTGAGCCACGACGAGCGATATGCTCTCTCACTGTAGTGTGTGAGCCACGACGAGCGATATGCTCTCTCACTGTAGTGTGTGAGCCACGACGAGCGATATGCTCTCTCACTGTAGTGTGTGAGCCACGACGAGCGATATGCTCTCTCACTGTAGTGTGTGAGCCACGACGAGCGATATGCTCTCTCACTGTAGTGTGTGAGCCACGACGAGCGATATGCTCTCTCACTGTAGTGTGTGAGCCACGACGAGCGATATGCTCTCTCACTGTAGTGTGTGAGCCACGACGAGCGATATGCTCTCTCACTGTAGTGTGTGAGCCACGACGAGCGATATGCTCTCTCACTGTAGTGTGTGAGCCACGACGAGCGATATGCTCTCTCACTGTAGTGTGTGAGCCACGACGAGCGATATGCTCTCTCACTGTAGTGTGTGAGCCACGACGAGCGATATGCTCTC